TTTTTTTTTTTTTTTTTTTTGAGACGGAGTTTCGCTCTTGTTACCCAGGCTGGAGTACAATGGCGCGATCTCGGCTCACCGCAACCTCCGCCTCCTGGGCTCAGGCAATTCTCCTGCCTCAGCCTCCTAAGTAGCTGGGATTACAGGCACGTGCCACCACGCCCAGCTAGTTTTTTGTATTTTTAGTAGAGACAGGGTTTCACTATGTTGACCAGGATGGTCTCGATCTCTTGACCTCGTGATCCACCTGCCTCGGCCTCCCAAAGTGCTGGGATTACAGGCTTGAGCCACCGCGCCCGGCCTAGATGTCTTCTTACATAATGAAGAGATTAAAATCTGTTAATAGGACATACCCACTAGAACACACTGTCAATTAAAAAAACACAGCTTTCCATATGTAAGTAGTATGACAGAGGTTAATCATATGTTAAAATATATTTATTAACACTGCAATGACAATAATTTCCATTAGCTATTTAATCGGTATTTTAAATTAAATGGATCATAGAGTTGGGCAAGGTGGTTCAAACCTGTAATCCCAGCACTTCAGGAAGTCAACGCAGACAGATTACCTGAGGTCAGGAGTTCAAGACCAGTCTGGCCGATATGGTGAAAGCCCATCTCTACTAAAAATACAAAAATTAGTCGGGCATGGTGGTGCACACCTGTAGTCCCAGATACTCGGGAAGCTGAGGCAGGAGAATCGCTTGAACCCAGGAGGCAGAGGTTGCAGTGAGCTGAGACTATACCACTGCACTCCAGCATGGGCAACAGAGGGAGACTCCATCTCAAAAAAAAAAGGGGTGCGGGGCATCTGCCCACTGCTCCCAGCACCCATCCCAAGATTGCGAAACAGTATGTCCCAAGTATAAAATGGAGAACTGTTACAGAAAGAAACTGAAAGATCTACTTGAGCAGGACTTAAGCCAAGTATGGGAGATTAGCCCCCCAGGAACACTAATAAGGACTAATAAGCATGAATAAGGAACTTAATAAGTAATCTAGTAGACATTTGATAAGTTTTCGCACCTGTAAAACAAAAATAAGCTGCTATGATACAGCAGAGGTCAGAGAACAAGAAAGGTTCTTATAAATTAAGAATATGATTGTGGACTTAAAAAAATAAAAAGTCCATCAAAAAGATTCAAACATAAATTCAATAATATCTTCCAGAAAACAAAGGAAATGTCAAAGAGCCAGAAAATATAAAAGTTGAGCCATGGTGGTCCAACAGCCAACCAACAGAAATACCATAAAGAAGAAATAAAGAGGCCAGGTGTGGAGGCTCACACCTCTAATCCCAATGCTTTGGGAGGCTAAGGCAGGTGAATTGCTTGAGCTCAGGAGGCCAAGACCAGCCTGAGGAACATTGTGTAACTCCATCTCCACAAAAAAATACAAAAACTAGCCAAGTAGCTAGGACTATAGTAGCTGGGATCCCTTGTGCCTGGGAGGCAGAGGTTACAGTGAGCTGAGATTGCACCATTACACTCTAGCCTGGGTAACAGAGTGAGACCCTATCTCAATCAATCAATAAAAATAAAGAGGAGAGGAAATAATTTGTAAAATAGGAACAAAATCCAGGTGAAGTTTCTTTTCTTTTCTTTTCTTTTTTTGAGACAAATTTTCACTCTTGTTTCCCAGGCTGGAGTGCAATGACATGATCTTGGCTCACTGCAACCCCCTCCTCCCAGGTTCAAGCGATTCTCCTGCCTCAGCCTCCTGAGTAGCTGGGATTACAGGCATGGGCCACCACTCCCAGCTAACATTGCTTTTTTTTCTCCTTTCTTTTCTTTTCTTTCTTTTTTTTTTTTTTTTGAGACCGAGTCTCACTCTCTCACCCAGGCTGGAATGCAGTGGCACAATCTCTGTTCACTGCAAACCTCCACCTCCCAGGCTCAGCTGATTCTCTTGCCTCGGCCTCCTGAGTAGCTGGGATTATAGGCACATGCCACCATGCCCAGCTAACTTCTGTATTTTTAGTAGAAACAAAAATACAAAATCAGACTCCCAGGAACACTAATAATTAGTCCTTATTGGTGTTGCTGGGGGGCTAATTTTAGCGTTCCATGGGAGTTTCACCATGTTTCCCAGGCTGGTCTCAAACTCCTGACCTCAGGTGATCTACCCGCCTCAGCCTCTCAAAGTGCTGGGATTACAGGCATGAGCCATTTCACTAGGCCAATTTTCCTGCCTCAACTTCCCAAGTAGCTGGAATTACAGGCATGCACCACCACACCTAGCTAACTTTTATATTTTTAGTAAAGATGGGGTTTTGCCATGTCAGCCAGGCTGGTCTTGAACTCCTAACCTCAAGTGATCCACCTGCCTTGGCCTTCCAAGTGCTGGATTACAGGCAGGCATAAGCCACCACATCTGGCCCTTACTTAGATCTTAAGGAGCAGGTAACACTGACACCTGGAAAGTGTTCAACCTTTCTAACAAGAAATAGCTCATTAAAAAAAAAAAACTTTTCCATTGTTTTCCAGCATACAGCAAACATAATAAAAACACACACATTTAGAAACCACGCACTTTCTACAGAGAAGAAAAGAACTCAGAACTAACATGAATTATATATATCTTTACTATCTATAATAAAGTATTATAATACTTTATGGTGGTTAAGTCTGAATTAATGAGGAAAGTATAAACTCAAAGGAATTTTTAAGTTTTGGAGCTGAAATCACAAATAGAGATTTCTAATCCAGTTATTTTTCAAGTGCAAATTCACAAAGTTTTCTAAGTGTCTTCAATGAATGATGCTGGGACAAGTGGATATCCACATGCAAAAAAAAATGAGGTTGGCCTCTTCTCTCACACCATATACAAAACCAACTCAAAATAAATCGAAAGACCTAAATGTAACAGATAAAACTATAAAGCCCTTACAAGAAAATATAGGGATAAGGCTTTGGGACACTGGATTTGAAAATGGTTTCTTTTTCTTTTTTTTTTTTTTTTGAGACGGAGTTTCACTCTTGTTACCCAGGCTGGAGTGCAATGGCACGATCTCGGCTCACCGCAACCTCCGCCTCCTGGGTTCAAGCAATTCTCCTGCCTCAGCCTCCTGAGTAGCTGGGATTACAGGCACGTGCCACCATGCCCAGCTAGTTTTTTGTATTTTTAGTAGAGACGGGGTTTCACCATGTTGACCAGGATGGTCTCGATCTCTTCACCTCGTGATCCACCCGCCTCGGCCTCCCAAAGTGCTGGGATTACAGGCTTGAGCCACCGCGCCCGGCTGAAAATGGTTTCTTATATATGATGCCAAAAGCACAAGCACCGAAAGAAATATTAAAGAAACTAAACTTCGGCCGGGTGCGGTGGCTCAAGCCTGTAATCCCAGCACTTTGGGAGGCCAAGGCGGGTGGATCACGAGGTCAAGAGATCGAGACCATCCTGGTCAACATGGTGAAACCCCGTCTCTACTAAAAATACAAAAAATTAGCTGGGCATGGTGGCGTGTGCCTGTAATCCCAGCTACTCAGGAGGCTGAGGCAGGAGAATTGCCTGAACCCAGGAGGCGGAGGTTGCGGTGAGCCGAGATCGCGCCATTGCACTCCAGCCTGGGTAACAAGAGCGAAACTCCGTCTCAAAAAAAAAAAAAAAAAAAGAAACTAAACTTCATCAAAATTAAAAACTGTTGTACTTCAAAGAACACTATAAAGAGAATGAAAAGACAATCCATATGACCCACAATTCCACTTCTAGATATATGTCCAAGAGAAATTAAAACATATGTGTGCCCAAAAATCTTCAAAGCAACACTATTCACAGTACTCAAGAGGTGTAAATGCAAATGTTTACCAACTGCTGAATGGATGCACAAATTCAGCATATCCATATGATGGACTATTTATTCAGCCATAAAAAGGAATGAAGTACTGGTACATGTTACAACATGGATGAACCTTGAAAATAGCATGTTAAGTGGAAGAAGTCAGTTATAAGAAGGCCACATAAATCCATTTATATTAATTGTCCAGAGAGAAAAAGAAGGTAGATTTATGATTGTCAGGGGATGAGAGAAGGGAGGAATAGGTATGCTTAAACTCATAGCCACCGCGCCTAGCCCTCCTTCCCTCTTTACGCTACATCCAACACCTGTGCTGGAAGCTTTCTACAGAGTCCTAAACTGCTAGATGCCAGCCAAAAGGAAGGCAAACAGCTTCAATACACGCTAGTTAATCAAAGATGAAGAACCACAGTATAAGTAAGGTTGCTACTGAGAGTTAGCGTGGGAGATAATGATAGAAAGTTTTGACTATGGTAAGACAATTACAAACATAAAACAGTATAGCATTACATCGCTCTGATATCATGTACTTACCCAGACCAAAGTGTCTCAATTTTGGCACTGCTGACATCTAAACCAGAATAATTCTTTGTCATGGGGACTGTCCTGTGCTTTGCAGGATGTTTAGCAGCATCTCTGGCCACAACCCACTAGACACTAGTGGCGTTCTCCAGTCATGACAATTAAAAATGTTTCCAGACATTTTGCCCCAGGTGGCAAAATGGCTCTCAGATGAGAACCACGGCTCTAGACTAAAATACTGACCATTCTGTCCAACATTAATATACATGAAGTGATGTACCTTAGGGTTATGAGTTGGGAAATCAGAGAAGACAAACCTAGACCACCTGGGATTGCTATAGGTCAATTTTCTAAAAGCCAATGTTTGGGAAAGGATTATGGGAAAATGTAAGCAGAGAGAGCTGAAATCTTCAAAATACATTCCTAGGATTAGAACAATGGCCACCTAAATTAAGGGGAGTTGGAATAGACCAACAGGGACCCAGTAATACTCTTCATTGTCACTGTTTTGTTGATTTAATTCCCTTGTGGATCAATGATGCTCAAAGACCAGTAGAGAAATGGTCCCTGCTATCTGCATGCTGGATACCTATCATGTCTGCCCTGGGGATAAAGGCAGCTATTCAGACACTGCCAGAGAGTTTTTGGTTCCTTTGAAGAAAATAAAAACACTGCCTACCTGAGAGTCCCATTCTCTCCTTTGTCCAGGCTGGTGAACCGGCTGTAGAGGCGAGTGATTTGACTGTGGGAAACTAAAGAGCACAAAATTAGTGCGGGGGAGGGGAGTGGGGGAGAAGCCCTCCTTCACACTGAACCCACCCCCTGCTGTCAAATGCTTCAAAATTGAGTAAGAGGGGGATGTAGCAACTCTTATCTCGAGACTGTTAAAGCAGAAAGTTTAAAAGCTAAAGAATGAAAGGACTTCGAAAATAGACGAAATCAAAGGCAATAAAAATTCAATCTCAAGAATGAAGTCTAGGCTTAATAAGACTGTATTGAATGTCAGGTGGTTAAGATTTAACAAAACAAAGCCAAATTTAGTGTTTTTTTCCTTCTTTTTCTGTTTGTATAGTTTTTTATTTTTTTTTTTTGAGGCAAAGTTTTGCTCTTTTCACCCAGGCTGGAGTGCAGTGGCACAATCTCGGCTCACTGCAACCTCCGCCTCCTGGGTTCAAGCGATTCTTGTGCCTCAGCCTCGCGAGTAGCTGGGATTACAGGTGCCTGCCACCACACCCAGCTAATTTTATGTATTTTTAGTAGAGATGGGGTTTCGCCATGTTGGCCAGGCTGGTCTTGAACTCCTGACCTCAGGTGATCCACCTGCCTTGGCCTCCCAAAGTGCTAGGATTATAGGCATGAGCTGCCACACCTGGCCCAAATTTAGTTTAAAAGGAAACTGTGAAACTTTCACATTTCAATGCCCTGAAAATGTGTTTTTATTTTATTTTCCTTTTTTTTTTTGAGATGGGGTGTCACTCTTGTTGCCCAGGCTGGAGTGCAATGGCACGATCTCAGCTCACTGGAATCTCCAACTCTCAGGTTCAAGCGATTCTCCTGACTGAGCCTCCCAAGTAGCTGGGATTACAGGAGCCTACCACCATGCCCGGCTAATTTTGTAATTTTAGTAGACACAGGGTTTCACCACGTTGACCAAGATGCTCTTGAGCTTCTGACCTCAGGTGATCCGCCCGCCTTGGTCTCCCAAAGTGCTGGGATTACAGGCATGAGCTACCATGTCTGGCCTATTTTACTTTTTTTTGGAGATAAAGTCTCACACTGCCTCCCAGGCTGGAGTGCAGTGGCGCAATCTCAGCTCGCTGTATCCTCCTGCCTCCCGTGTTCAAGAAATTCTCCTGCCTCAGCCTCCTGAGTAGCTGGGATTACAGGTGCCCTCCACCACACCTGGCTAATTTTTTGTATTTTTAGTAGAGAACGGGTTTCACTATGTTAGCCAGGCTGGTCTTGAACTACTGAACTCATGATCCACCCAGCTTGGCCTCCCAAAGTGCCAGGATTACAGGTATGAGGGACCATGCCCAGCCTATTTTACTAATTTTTTAAATTTTATTTTATTTTTTTGAGACAGTTTCCCTTTGTCACCTAGGCTGGACTGCAGTGGCGCAGTCTCAGCTCGCTACAACCTCCACCTCCTGGGTTCAAGCGATTCTTGTGCCTCAGCCTTGCGAGTAGCTGGGATTACAGGCATGAGCCACAGTTCCCAGCTAAAAATGCATGTTTTGATTGAAAAAATACCTATGATCTGTTTGCTACTTCAGGGTGTACTGCGAGGTAGGTGTTGTGTGTAGAATGTTTGACTGGGGTACATCAAACAGATTCTGTTCTACAAATCTGTTTACTCCCATACCACACATTAGAGCCTTTATCCTTTCCCTTGGGATGGACCCTTGGGTTAAAGATCAGCTTCTTTTCTGTGATTGCATGAGCTTCACTGAGTTCCCAGGAAAGGAACTGGCAAATGTGTAAAATAATCATGCAAATGTGGCAAATGTGTAAAATAATCATGCAAATCAGGCAAATGTGTAAAATAATCATGCAATCATCAGATGACATCTACCAGAAAGCTATTTTGCTCCTCATTTTGGATTTAGTCCATAAACTCAAGGTACGAGTTGACAATTAAAATGATATAATAATGGCAGGTACACAATAACACTAAAAAGTCAAAAAGGCCTTTCTGGGAAATAGTTTAGTCTCCTGATAGACTGGAAGTAAGAGAAGGTCAACAAACAGAGTTATCAGAGGAGAAAAGACAACATCCTAAAAGGGTGTGACAGGTGTGGACTTTGTCCTAGGCTGTACCTTCAGACGTTTAAACAGGTGACCAAAGTAGTTCTGATAGCTGTCCTCCTCCCTCAGCTCATGAAACAAAAATTTACCAGTGTTGGCAACAATGGCACAAAGTAAACAGGGACAAGCAAGAAGTGAGTGGCCCAGAGCTGGGGTAAGAGGACACACTAGGTGAGGCTGTGAATTCTTCAGCACTAGGTTTCACCGTTGAAGCTGGGCTGTTCTGTCCTAGCACTCTAAACTGATCACTGAGCAGAGAAGGCAAAAGCATTTCCATCCGAGGCAGAGCGAGCAGGGATCCAGCCACTAAGGAGCCAGTTGTGGACCGTTTTGCCAGCCAGGCAGGTATAAATGGATCACTGTAAAGTGTACACACTTGTGTGGGTTAAGCACACAGATTCTGCTTCCATTCCTAGAACCACTGCTTACCAGAGAGGGGTAAGTGAATGGGACTGTAGGGCAAACTAACCAGTCAATGAAAGGAAAGTGCTTGGCAAAGAGCCTGGCACATGGCAAGCAGTCCAGGTTAGCTATTATCAGCATCATGCTTACATTCTGAGCCTGAAGGCACAAGTACTACTGCTGCACTAATTACTCTCCATTTCCCTCCTGACTCTGCTAGTTACAACTGTTTTCTTTAAGAATTTGACCAGTCTATCCCAGCTCTGGTCTCAGGCCTCAAAGGCTACTCCTGTAATGATGTTCCCTTTAGTTAAGCAAAAATAAGTCAGTTAAAGAATTACTATGTTTTCCAAACGACTTTTTGAAAAAAAAAAAAAAAATTTGTTCACAGTCCCAACACTGCCATTTTCATTTCTTCACATGTCATCCAGTATCAGTTACTTGCATGCTTTACAAAGTTGTAAGAACTTGGTTTTCATCTAGTAATTCACACTTTTTCTATGTTGCTTTGGAGTCCTTCTTAATCCCATTTATATAATTTTAAAATTGGAAGAAATGTTATCTAATCCAACCCTTTCAATGAACAAATGAGAACCAGGCACAATGGCTCTCGCCTATAATCTCAGCACTTTCAGGCATGATGAGGCCAGGAGTTCAAGACCAGCCAGGGCAACAGAGTGATACCCCATCTTTACCAAAATAAAAAATAAAATTATTTTAAACCAAAAAAAGCCACAAATAAGCCATTAAACATCTTTCTAATCTATATTATCTAAAGTAACTGTGTACTGAAACCTCCTATAGTGTAACACCAGTTTACATCTGCTTAACTTCAAAATGTGACAGGGCGCAGTGGCTCAAGCCTGCAATCCCGTACTTTGGGAGGCTGAGGCAGATGAATCACCTGAGGTCAAGAGTTCGAGACCAGCCTGGCCAACATAGTGAAACCCCGTCTCTACTAAAAATACAAAAATAAGCCAGGTATGGTGGTGTAATACTAGCTACTTCGAAGGCTGAGACAGGAAAATTGCTTGAACTGAGCAGGCGGAGGTTGCTGTGAGCTGAGATCTCACCACTGCACTCCAGAGTGAGACTCCACCTCAAACAACAACAACAACAACAAAGTTCTGATACGTTAAAAATAAATAATGTGGCCCGGCGCAGTGGCTCAAGCCTGTAATCCCAGCACTTTGGGAGGCCGAGGCAGGTGAATCACGAGGTCAAGAGATCAAGACCAACCTGGTCAACATGGTGAAACCCCGTCTCTACTAAAAATACAAAAAATTAGCTGGGCATGGTGGCACATGCCTGTAATCCCAGCTACTCAGGAGGCTGAGGCAGGAGAATTGCCTGAACCCAGGAGGCGGAAGTTGCGGTGAGCCGAGATCGCGCCATCGCCACTCCAGCCTGGGTAACAAGAGCGAAACTCCGTCTCAAAAATAAAAAATAAATAAATAAAAATAAATAATGTAAATAAGTAGCCAAAACAATCATAAAACTACTGTCTTCCAGGATGAACTGGGGTATATGGGAGTCAGCAAAGAAACATACAACCAAATGTCGACTTTTAATATTAATCAATATGGTCATATCTGAACTCCAAAATTTTAGAACTAATTTTAGAGCCATAATGATATGGTTACAAAGAGTTTTGTTAACAAAAAGGAGAGAAGGCTTTAATTTAGGTGCGAAATTCACTGTGACAAAGAATATAAAGCAATCTCAGAACAACCCTAATCTATTTATAAAGGAACTACACAATCCATGGGCAGGAAGGTATTGGAACCAGGAAGAATGAAGGCAGATCATGTTTCCAGTGAACTATTTCCCCCAGAAGGCTCTAAGCCAGTCAGACAGATGCCCAAAACCTGCACAATTCTTGATAACCCGAAGGAAGTATCAGGAGTTGACAGCTACTCTCAGAGAAGTCGTGCATGTAAACATGTCTTGAATGAAGCTGTTTTTTCTCCACTGGCATGGGCAAATAATCATTTTTAAGTGTTGAAAGATTATTTAAAAGACCCTGTTTGGCTGAAGGCGGTGGCTGATGCCTGTAATCTTAGCACTTTGGGAGGCTAAGTGGGAGGATCCCCTGAAGAAAGGCCAGTTCAAAACTAGCCTGTGCAACAAAACAAGACCCCATCTCTATAATGAATGAATGAATCAGTTAATCAATCAATCAATAATTAGCTGGCCATGGTGGTGCATGCCTGTACACCTAGCTACTTGGGAGGCTGAGGAAGAGGACTGTTGCAGCCCAGGAATTCAAGGTTGCAGTGAGCTATGATCACACCCCCGCACTCCAACCTGAGTGACAGAGTGAGGCCTTGTCTCAAAAAACACACACACACACACACACACACACACAAAAAAAAAAAAAAAAAAAAAAAAAAAAAAAAAAAAGAAGAAGAAAGAAGAAGAGGAGGAGGAGGAGGAGGAGAAGGCCCTGTTAACCTTCCTGAAATCTTCCTATCATCACTGCATTGGGCAAAGAAGAGGAAGGCATTTCAGACAAGTGCCAAGCAGAAATGGCAGAGGAAAG